TCAGTTCCTCTTTGCTGGGTCAAACATCGTCAAATCTCATCAGTCTTCCTCCACTTCGTCTCTCTGAGCCCTCCTTGTGATTTTGATTCCCCTGATGTCTCCTTGGTTTTTTGGTACGTCTAGACTTGTGTTTTATTCTTAGTTTTGATCTTTGGACTCCAGGTTTCATTTTTGTTTGGACTTTGTTTTCTTTTTGATCTTTTGGATAACCTGCCTCTGTTTTCAGTTTTTTTTTTATTATTCATCATTAAATCACTCAAAAAAATTCACCTCTGCCTTCCTGCCTCTGCCTTTGGGTCCACAACCCTCACTGCATGAAAAGTGAGATTTTCGTCCCCGTAAACCCCCGTAAACTCCCGCAGATCTGCCTGATTTTCGTCAGTTTCCGACAATTTGCAACCCGTGCTTGTCCGCGTTTGTCGTGCCACAAATTGTCGGAAACGTACCGTGACGTATGTGGAGAGCGATAAGCTGTACTAATGGCCCTAATTAGCACATGAATACAGCAAACCCGCGCGGCTGGCCAGGTCTGGCTTGAATAACCTACTCAGTATTGGCTGAAACCACTATTCTCAAACAAATGAAATCGCTCGTGATTGGCAGCAAAACCACACGTGGCCACGCCAGGCTTTAATTTTCTTACTGAGTATTGGACGGAACCACTTCTTTTTAAACAAGTAAAGTCGCTCGTGATTGGTTGGCATATATATATATTTACATATATATATTTATTCATATATATATATATATATATATATATTTATTCATTCATTTATATATTTATTCATTCGTATATTTATTCATTCATATATTTATTCATTCATATGCTGTGTATTTATGTTATCCTACACTACTACACAATTATTATGCTACCATCAAGGACATGAATGAATTTATACAGGAAATGAAGATTTGCCAGGAAGCTGTTTATGCAAAGAAAGAGCTTTATTGAAACACACACAACTATATACAACGCATATCCAAACACATGCGTATCTAAAAATTACAACTCCGTGAACATTCCGTTTGCTTCCTCGGGGTTGGAGGTAACAGGCAGCATTCCCTCCGAGGCAGGTCCGATGTGCAGACGCCTACTGTGCGTGGCCCTGTACTTCGGCATCGCTTCTAACCGGGACTGCAGCTTAACACAGAGTTCAGTGAGATCCGGCCTACGAAATGGCGGCGACCGTACAATCCATCCAGAGACACCGCCGACGACGCCATCTTCTTCGTCGGACATGAGGTCGACGGTGGCGGACTTCCAGAGTTCCATTTCCTCATCTGCTAGCACACTCTGCCTCGCCTTCAGCAGCTGAAAAAAAAAACAATGAATCAGCGCACTGCATATGGACACAACACATCTATCAATGCACCTGAAAAATAGTCACCAAATAAAGTCTTACCCTCTTTCTTCTGGCCCGACTCCGAGCAGATAGCCTGGCCGCCTCCGCACGCAGCGTGCTGGCTAGCAGCGTGTATCTGAAGCTCCTGCATACCGTCTCATAATACGTCTTACAGGCAGCTGGAAAACAATTAAATGAGAGTGGTATGAATAAAAAAAAAAAAAATCAAACGCAAGTCACAGTAACAAGGAAGGAGAAAACATTAAAACGAGTCACTTACACACAATGTCGTCTTTATCAACATCGTGCAAATCCGAGCAAATAGGAGGTCACCGCCTCATTGTGAGGCGACTGTAGTCTGTGAAAAAAAAAAAAAGTACAGCTATGGTCGGTATCCATCCGTATCCATGTCCTTTTACCGCAGAATGAAAGCATATTCTTTAAACCTTACCCCTGCTCCGGTTCATAGCGCCTGCAATTAGTCTCCGAGTTGTTAAGACGGCATACTGCATCCTGTGAATCACAAAAAATACACTTTAATAAAGCTTTAGGCTAGGCTGCTTTTAGCTTACCTAGCTAGGCTAGGTTGTCTTTAGCTTGCCTAGCTAAGCTAGGCTGCTTTTAGCATAGCTACCAGTAATCGAACATATATTTACCGCTAGCGTGGCGTTGTGCACCCGTCTTCTCTTCCTCGAGTTCGTATATCCCGGAAAGTTGCTCGACTGCAGAGCCGCCATCTTGTCGTCTATGGACTACAACCTGGAGTGCATCGAATTCTCCAGCAGAGTGAGGCGCCCATTCATGTCGGCAGTATGTTGGGCAAGCTGACGAGACAGTCCGCTGATAGCAATCAGCAGTTTCTTCTCGTCAGTCTGCGGGCTGGCCAAAAGTTGTGGACTAAGAGCAGTTGGAGGCGAGTTGAACGCGAGACGTCGTGCAGCCATTGTTCACGTAACAACAAAATACAAACACGGTAACTGGAGATGAAGTTCTATAGTAACACAAACATGTCTGCTAATATGCTGGTCTCGCGAGAAGTCGTAGTGCACAAAAGCTCACACGTGATTGGACGATGGGGCCGAAGGCTCATCAGGCTCCTCCAATCACATACAACGTCATTGTTATACGGAAGGACTCGCGAGAAGAGCTCGCGTCGCTCCATTCTGGAAGGTGGCGGTAATGCACCTATAAATTGTTTGCAATTGCAATTGTTTGTCTCCATAAGATTGAATTTGAGCAGGTGGACATTAGAGATAATAAATGCAACAACAAGTTTTTGAATCAATATTCTATAAATAATATGTACCCAGGAAGAACAAAAAGCACAGCTCTCTTACAAAATTTTAAGAAATCTATGATAGTCACAATTAGGACAAATTATTTGAAATTCCCAATTCCTCCTAAATATAAAGAATTACAATTTAAAATAATAAATAACATATATCCTTCAAATGAGTTTTTAAGAGAGAGATTTAAGTTTAATGTTGAGAATTGTGGCTTTTGTACAACTCAATTGGAAACAACTAAACATCTTTTTTATGAATGTAAAGAAGTATTAAACTTATGGGATCAACTTCGAACCTTTCTGTCTTCTAAAACAATAAATTTAGATTTTATTTCCTGGCAAAACATTCAATTCGGTTTATCCATTAAAGAAAAAAAATTTGGAATTTTTAATCAATATTCTAATAATTGTAACAAAGTATTATATCCATAAATGTCGCTATGCAAAATGCTCCCTCTCAATCTCTGCTCTCAAAAATGAACTTTCCCTTTTCAAAAGATGTCTGAGAAAGATGCAGAATTTAAATGCAATTAAATTGTTTGAGTTAATTGAAGAATTTCAGTTGGTAGTCCCCACTGATTAATTTACTTTAACTACTATTATTATTTTATTTATTTTTATTTATTTTATTTTATTTTATACTTTTTTCCAGCCTGTGCATTTAATTTTATTTTTCAAAAGCAGGAGTTGTGATATTTCTTCTTGTATTGAAATATTTGTTATTGACTTGTTGTTTGAGATTGTTATTGTTTTCTTATATATTCAATAACAAAAAAAAAAAAGTGGAAATCTAAAAAAAAAAATTAACCATAACAGCCAACTGATTCTGATTAAAACTAATTTTTGAAGTAAATTATTTTGTGTATTTTTTTTTACATAACATTTGCATACACAGTAATCTAGCGTACTTTAATTAAATAAATCAATTCAAGCTAAAATGTAAGAGTCTATAATTAGGCTATACTGAGCCTGATCTATTTCTACCATCTATTTGGGGGATATTTATTGCCACACTTTGGGCCACTTAAAACCAATTTAGCAGGCTGACCTATGACCTTATGACCACAGTGTACCAATCTTCTGATGGCTACTTCCAACAGGATAATGCGCCATGTTATAAAGTGAATCATCTCAGAATCATTTCTTGAAACTTTTCCACTTAAGTAATTGTGAATTGAGCATATTGACAGACAACATTTTATTTTTTATCTTAAATGCAAATTTAAAAAAAAATAATTACAGCTCTAAATGTATTGCTCTGTCAGCTAAAGATCTGTTTTGGTCTCTATACTTTAATTAAATAAATCAATTCAAGCTAAAATGTAAGAGGCTATACCTGATCTCTTTATATCAGAGATTTTCTTACCCAGGGTTGCAGGGGGGGTAAAACCCCCCCTGCAACCCTGGTTTGCATTTGTATAGCTCACAGCATGTTCATTTACATTAAGCCTCCCCTAGAATTCCATGGGGGGGAGGCATGGGGGGAACACTGCCTAAGAAATTCCACGTCAATTTCTGACAATTTACGGGAGTTTTCGGCGAAGCGTGCAAATTGCCGTAAACTGCCGCTAACCTGAAGTTCCACGACAATCTACCGTGCCGTATATTGACGAAAATCCCACTTTTCATGCAGTGCCTAAAACAAATCCTGACAGTCGTCACACAGAAAGGTAGAGAGGTTTGCAGCGTGTAGCAGATCAATGATTGCAAGTAGACGTAAACACTTTTCACGCAATGGTTAAAGTGAATTCCTGTAACAATGGACTCTGGGCAAACCAGCTTTCAAAAACCGAAAGCCTTGGGTGAAACATCTTCAAATTTGGGGTTAGTTCAAAGGAAAATGGAATCGCATATTTCATTAAAAATAATCGCAAATTAAGATTTTTGTTAAAATTGTTCAGCGCTGCTCTGGAGGTCCTTATTTTTATGGAGAGAGACAATTTTTAAAACAACCAGAGGGAAAATGTTGATGGGCTGAATGTTCAGTTAAAGCCTAAACTGCCTGTTGTGGTTTGTCTGGACTAATGCAGCTTCATGTAACCCTAAACTGTCTCCATGATGCTGGAATGAGGTCTCCAGAGGAGCTGGACCATCTGCTGCAGGGTTTCTGTTTTGTTGTGACTGATCACAGCTCTGCACGACTGTGGCTGCAGGACTAATTTAGGATAATTACCTTCCTGAAGGGACCCTGCAGTGGGAATAACCCAGACGGGCATCTATATATGCTGCATTTTCCTATTAGGCCTGTTCCTGCGTGTTTCCCAGTGATATTCACCCGCCCTGCAGCCACAACCTCAATAAACCAGACTCCTGCCTGGTAGGGACTGTAAAAACCCAGTTATCTTAAAGCTTATTGTGTGTCTTCAACTCACAGTTCCAGGTCTGGGGTAGGGGATGCGGCCTTTGTACTCAACCCAGCGGTAGTCAGGACCTTCTTTGTGGGCAAAGGGTCCGTTGAAGGCGGCACGGATTGATGCCATGGAGTAGACGCACACAGCTGAGCCTCGGAATATGGAGCTACGAAAGAAGCAGACCAGTTGGTTGATTTCCTGGGTTTGAGAATAAGTTAAGAAGAGACAAAATCAGAGCCGAAAAAGTGAAAACAAAAAAGTTTTAATTTAGAAAGAACTAGCAGAGGAAGACTAGAGCTTCCTCTGTTCCTCAGGATGAAGAAAAGCAAGATGGAGCCTGAACGGCAGAAGGAGGAGGATAGAATAAAGGTAGGAGGCAAAGGGAAAAAAAGCAGGTCTGCTTTTATACATCATGGTTAGAAAAACACAACTAGTCAGGCCCCTTCACCTTTGCCCCAGGCACCCACCCATGCCTGACCTCTGACCCCAGCACGGATGGATAAGCACGTGCCAGATTCAGAGGAAGGTCGTATCCTTCCAGAACCCCAGCTGACGTTTTCTTCAGCATTTAAAGTTTATAGGTGGATTCAGGTGGTGGCGATTATAGAGCGGATTATATAACTAGATACTGACACATAGAACTGTCCAAACAGACACTGAGGGATTATAATACAAAGATTCTAATATAATAATGCTTCTTTCTCTCTATGATGAGAAGAAATGGAAATACTATACATACATTTCCTGTACAGTGAAGCAGTTTGTTAAAGTCCTATAGAAGCCACTGTTCCAACCGTTGTATTTCCAAATTCTCCCGAGTGGTGCCCAACTTTACACGAGTGAATAAAGTGAATGTGATTGGTCGATTATCAAGGGGGCGGGACAAGCAAGTTTGGTTGTGGCCGGTTTGTCGGAAGCATGTTGCTAACCAGTTAGCAACTTAGTGCTAGTAGGTTCCCAATGGGAAATTCCATTGGGACCAAGTAGCACTAAATTGGTGACTTAGAAACGACGCTGTCAAGGAACGCTATGGACAGAGGAAACATGCAAGAGGAGGAGAGTTTAGTGTCGGAGGTCGTGGATGAGTCTCCTCCGTCATCCATTTTTTATTTAGAGGAGGAAAGCGGGGACGAAGATGTTGTGGAAGAGGACGCCAGGGCGGCAGAAGCTTGGTTTGGTGTAGAAGGCTTCCAGCCGTACATGATTGAGCCCTTGCCTCACAACGCTGCCAGTTCTGTTAGCTCTACGCCTGCTGAAGACACAGACGTCCATCCCCGTGAACACTGGGACGCAACTCAATGGGAAAGGAAAGGATTCTGATTTCAACCGTTGCGTATATTAGCTGGGACATATGAATCAAGATGCTATGACCGAAAAAAATTGATTGACAGATGACCGTTGATATATGATTGGCTGATTTTAGGTGTTCAGGCTGACGTAGAACTAACTGGCCTGCATAAGATAACGGAAAAAACCCACAGATTTTAAGACAGGATTTCTTTTTTATTGAAATGTTCTAAATTTTGGGACAATATCATCTGATAAAGAGTACATTTATATACCGGTACATGTTTTAACCAGAATGATTTGACATTTAAAAATGAATTCCTTACGACTTTAACCTGATGCCTTGCAGCAAGCAGGTCCTGGGTTCAAATCCCTCTCTGAGTTGTTTTGTTTTTTTTTGAATGGAGTTTTTTTAGTTCTCCTCCTGTATACTTTGGCTCTCTCTGAGTTCTGGGCCCTGCAACTAAACTTGAGCCTGACCTCATTTGGTCTAAACATGCTTATCATTTTCGGAAACTGATGACTTTGTCTGCTGGAGTTTTCTCCACTCCTGCTTTGTGTTTAGATGTTTACTTCACTGCTGTTTCAGCTTGATCAACCTGCTGCATATTCAAGAAAATGTTTTTAAAAACCTGTGAAATGAATAACCAGCTTCTCACCTGGAGGTCTTGAAGACGCCGTAGATGGTCGGGTTCTGAGGATCCTTGGTTTCCAGAACAAAGACGTCCTCTGAGAACAAAACAAAAATCAAGATCTGGACTTTTTTTTTCCTTTTATCCGTAAACAGTTAAAGTCCGATTAAAGAGATTCTTGACGTATTCCAAAATAATTGGGTAAGAAAATAAGAAGTTTGAGAGGAAGGAGGAGGAAGAGGAGGGAAAGGGTCAGTGTTACCCAGTTCATCAAAGTGCGTATCGACTCCAGACGGGCCGGGAACAGAACAGACCAATCTGGCTTTGAGGAAGGTGGTCCAGCGGTTGATCAGACTCCTCTTCCCGCCAACGTCGTTCTTTAGGAAGTCAGGGAGCAGAGAAACAGGACAGAGACAGATATGGGACATGAGGTTTTTTTTATTAAACTGATCTGGAGGCCTTTTCATTCAGCTTCAGTCCAAAACGCACTTCCTTATCAATGTGTTTTTTGCACCATGTTTTTTCTCCCACACTGTTTACATTTGATCACTGCTGCACTTTCTGGAATGGAAATCTTTATTTACTGTCTGTAAAGCTGTACTAAACAAAATTTTGATTTGTATACACTCTGTATGCAAAATGACATTTTAAAAAAGTTCAAGTCTAAGAACCCGTCCATCACAGCATGCTGGGCATCGGCATGTCTGGAAGGAGGTAAATGGGTCCGGCTTGATCAAACTAAGTGGATCCCTCCTCTGATGTCTTCAGGAACTGGACTGACAACAAATGAAAGAGCAGCCAAACTCCAGGGAACCATTGATCCACATTCACATAAAAAAGGAGAATAAGAAAATAAAGCCGCATCAGGAATTTCAAGCTCAAAGATATTCATGCATATTAATCAAATTTGTATCAATCTAATATGATCAGTTTCAGATACGCAGCATGAAGACATGCTCAGAGTTTCTAATCCTGCCGATTGGTGAATCAAGGTTGTTTAGACTTCAGCTGTTGTAGTTATCTAACTACCTCAATTGTATTCTTTACCTAGTTCCACTTTATTGTAAAACGCCAAATCCATATGTGTATAAGTAACCTTAAAGTCACCTTCATCGATCAACTGTATATGTGTGGAGAAACTGCACTGGAAAAACGATCTAGAAATGAGTGAAAATTCTCAAATTAAGTGTATTTACCCTTAATCTGAGTTGGTAAATGAGATAGTACGAAAAGAATGAGTATTTTTACCCTTAAAATAAGATTATTTCCTCCTCAATAAAAAAAATGCACTTATTTTAAGAAAAAAATTACTTTTTTAGATTTTAATTTTTTGTAGTTTGTATTTACTATATGCACCTTTTCCTCCTTTTGGTGCCTTCCTTAGATTATTGATAAATAGTCAAAAGGGATAAACTATCAGTAAAGTCTATCTTATCTTATCTTACCTTGCAGACTCGGGCCACTCGGCTGTAGACCCTCCTGTCCCACTGGCCGGCCTCCACTGCCTTCTCCTTGAAGAAGAAGTAAACCTTATCATCATCCGGACTGTGAGTATCGGGGATGGAGAAGGAGCCCACAAAGTCCGGTTCTGGGGAAGACACAGAAAGCCTGTTTTTGAGATCAAAGCCAACGGAGGGATCACCGACAATCATTCATGCTGAGGTGCAATGAAAATGGATTTCAGTTTAGCTTTTAATCCTGAATGGATCAGGTGACTAGGAGAGGGTCTTCAAAGAAGTGCATCATGTAGAGAACGTCCAGCTGCTCACCGTTGAGCCAGTTCTGTTCGTAGGCCTCAGTGCGGAGGTAATGCTGACTGCTGCCCTGAACGGATGTGCGGAAAATCGCTGCGTTGGCTCCCATAAAGTCAACGGAAGTGCCGGCATAAAGTTCGCCATCTGAGTAGAAGGAAGGAGAGATCGCGTCTGGTTGAAATCCAAAGAGCACTGCAGTATAACATCAGTCAACAGCCCCACTATGGAGTTCTTTAGGAGAAACAATTAAAGCTCCATGTCTACTCAGAAAACTCAGAAAAAGCAAATTATGTTTGGAGTGAGAGCAGAGATTCATTATGTCTTTACAAATAATGAACAGTGTAGTGGGAAAAAAGTATTAAACTATTCAGCCTAGTTAAATAAACGGAGATCGATGGATTTCACTCAGCATTTTATTTTCTTATCTTTACAAAGAGAGAACAGTTCATAATACGGCCGTTACTGCTCTGTAATCAGCCCTGTTCTGACTTGACAGAGTTTGTCTCCCTTACTTGAGGACAAAGCTGTGAAGGTTGTGTCAGAGTCAAAACAAGTTACACCAACTTAAAAAAAAAAGCCTTGGGGAAACAATTTGGCTTGTCGTGGGAATAAGTCTGTTTTATCTGAAATCACCCCTCACTGAGACATTTTCTCATCCTTGCAGGTAAAACAAACTGAGGAAAAACATTTTTTTATTGAATAAATTGCATAACTAAATATATGAGACAAGAGAAATCAAACATTTCCGACCCCAACATTTAAGAGTTTTATGTTTTGTTCAGTAAATCTGAGTTTGGAGAAGAAATTAACATGAAATCAGGAACAGATGAATAAAGCTGTAGTTTTCAAAACAAAAACATGAAGCTCTAAGAAAGGTGGAAACCAGATGAAATTCATCAGTATTCAGTAAACAGTCCAGTCCCTTTTCAGTGCAAATGGATATCAAGTTCTTTAATCTAAACCAGCGGCTTTTAAAGAGCCGCCTCATCACCAAAAGTCACACAAGAAGCCCGTCCAGGTGGCTAATAGCACCTAAACCACTAAATGTTCCACTGAGCGCATTTATGCTTTGGAAAAACCATCTAGAAATAAGTAAAAATTCTTTAAATTGAATGTATTTACCCTTAATCTGAGCAGGTAAATGAGATAGTTTGCCAATGGAATGAGTAGTTTTACTCTTAAAATAAGATAATTAGATAACATACACTTGAAATAAGACAATGTAATTGTTTCTTCTTATTTTAAAATCTAAATAGTCTTGTTCCATTGGCAAAATGTCGCTTTTGCCTCCTCAATTCAAGAACAAATGCACTTATTTTAAGAAAAAATTATTCATCTAGATTTTGATTTTTTTCAAGTGTGAACGGGACCTGAAAGAGGAAAGAGAAGTTTTAGGAATATCATCCATGAGGGAAAAATGAAATTTCCTGACAATGGTCTAAGAACATGGCCCTGGATACTCAGCTGGATACTTTGAGAAGGAAAATTAAGCTTTTAGGGAAAAAAAAAACACAGAAAGTACAGAAATTTACGGAAGCCGAGAGCGGTCGTACTTGTCTTCTTTTTTTTCTTCGTCTTCTCAAGATAATGACATAACTATCTCGTTATCGCGGGTAAACAATTAATTGTTGTCTTGAGATAAAGAGATGATTAACCTGTATACTATTACTGCACCATAATTTGGACTCATTTCTGTAGGTTTATTTAGGTCTTCCTGAAAAGCAAAGTGAACATGATGTCAGTGGGTCGATTAGAAATGTATTTACTGACAACCAAGTTAATAGTTTCCAATTAACTAGTTACTGAAGGTAGAAGAATATGGAGGACCAGCTCGACCATATTTAAAAATAAATACAATAAACAAATAAATGTAGGTTGAAATTTAATTATACTCTGAGACATAAATGTATATATATCTCTTTTAATTAGCTTCTTTATTTATTCACCTTTGTAATAATTACCTTACTGCTAACCAACCAATGGGCAGAAGCTGCCCCTCTAAGACTCATTTGCATAATGAGGCAGAAATTTATCCAGAAATGTAAAAATGACAGTCAGGAATAAATAGCATTGAAGAAATAAACAGGGAAATAAAATACAAAGGAAGATTAAAACAGACAAAAATATTATAACATGCACATATATATATATATATATAAAAAAAAAAAGTAATTAATACATAAAGTTTATAACAGATAATAAATAAATAAGGTAATTATTACAAAGGTGAATAAATAAAGAAGCTAATTAAAAGCGATATATACATTTGTCTCACTGTATAATTTAAATTCTACCTACATTTATTCATTTATTATATTTTGGGGGCAATTAATTGTATGCTTATTTATTTATTGAGCATTTATTTATTTCTGTATTTATTTTTAACCTCTTACACCCTAAGGGGGTATAAATAAATTTCTGCCTGTCAAAAACACACAAAAGTAAATAACTTATAGCCTCAAAGCTATTAGATTTAAGAAGAAACTTTTGGTACGTCTGTAAAGGTAAGATGTCATAGAATGGTTTTCTGGTGTCAGCACCATTGTAGCTTTGACCCTGCCTGAACTATTAGGGACAAAATACAACATATTTTGCATTTTTTGAACCTCGCCAAAATTTTCTTTGAAATAAACATTGCAAAACACTACCAAAATATAATTTATAGCACAAAAAAGTAGTACAGACTTTCAAATCTAAATGTTGTGTAAAAATATACCAAATTTGGACTCAATCAGATGAATCATATTTATTTTAGAAGGGTATTAGTGAGAAATTTCTTAGGCGGAGGGGCCAGTTTGGCAGATTTATCCATAAATGTCACCAAACTGTGCCAAATATGTTTTTTACATCAATACTGGGGGTTTGGTAAAACTACGAGGTCACGTAGCAGCTGGACCCGCCGGTGGGTCCGTAGGGTTCAAGGGGTTAAATTTGTTAAAGCTGGACAAGCTGGAAAAAACAAATTAAACTAAAATAATCACAAGACAAAAGGAACAGCAGACCTTTTACCTACGAGGCAACATGCATTGAAAGGCCCCGACCCACAGGCTGAGAAACACTTGACTTAGGATTAGGTAGCTGTTAAAATATCTTAGTTAGTTTTAGTGTCATTTGTTGTTTTACTCAGAATTAATTGTCTAAGGAAAGAAAAAGTTTGCTTCATGACATTCAGCTTGGATTTAATGTTTTTTATTCAGACTGTCCAGCTGTGGAACATCCATCAGAAGACATGAAGCTCAGAGTTATAATCTGATCCTCTTGGGACGTCTGTCTTTGTGAGGAAGACATAAATGGAGTTGCAGTGTTTTATGTCCACAGCGGCTGACGTCATGATGTGAAATAACTCAGTCAGACCACACAAGTCTCTGCTCAGCTCACGATCTGCAGCCGGACGGCGGACAGTGCAGGGACTGTTGGCTGCAGAACATTAGTGTCACCAGAACATGAAGCCGATGACCTACGGCTGCTTAACGTTCTCCGGCTGTGTGTGGCAGGGTGTTAAATGAGCCTGGGTGTCACCTACCGGTCAGTCTGACAGTGAAGGGCTCTCTGGGACTGAAGGGACATTTTCCTCGTCCTGACTCAACTGTGTGGGACAACTTGAACGTGGACCTCTGCAGGACGGAAAAAGGGAGGGGAGGGGGACATGGGCCACACACAAACACAGAAAGAGTGAGTGATAAAGTGACCTGCAGCCTCATCACTGCACTCAGAATACTTAACACCAACAAATCATCAACATTCAGCAAATTATTTCACATTTTTGATCCCTTGTTATTTATTAACAGACTCTGGTTCCAAAGGACTTATCTAGAATAACCTGATCCACATCTCTAGGCTATAGAACTCAGAAATCTAAAATGTTTAATTTTCATGCTTTCAGTTGAACATCAATTACTGTATTTCCACCTCTGATGTGACCTCCTCAGCAGTAAAACAAGGCTCCATACTGGGTTATTTTCCTTTAACTTCCAAAAAAACACTTTTTGCAGATGACTACCAGGTTTACTTTGCACTGAGGTGCACTGCTGACTGCTCTGTTCAGCCTGGAGAAATTGTAAGATGGAAGCACCTGCATTTTAACACCAAGACAAGTCACCGACATTCACACCTTCCTCGCATTTGCTGCACTACACGGCAGACATGTTCACAAGTCATTTTTTGCAAGTCCAAGTCAAGTCTCAAGTCTTGAGAAGGCCTGTCGCAATAATCAATTAATCGCACAAAAAATTCTAATCACTTGATTAATTTAAAAAAGTGCAATAATTTTCATGCTTGCTTGTTTCTCCTTGTGTTTTTATCTCCGTCACTGAGACGGTATAGCTTAAAGGTCGCTATTATATCTATGGAATTATCATTATCTTGAACTGCTAAATGAAAAATACAATTAAAAAAAGCACACGCAAAATTTTTTTCCAGATAAATTTAGCATTTTCTTACAGTATTTCCTGACATTTGTGGTTACAACTTTTTCTAGTTTTAGCAGTAAATGTCTGCTCTTTTATTGAAAATGAGGACTGTGGAAAAAAAAAAAAACAATCACAATCCTGCCTTCCACGTAATGTTGCGTCAGTGACGTCAGTGTGTTGCACAGGGAAAAATATGATTTATGGTTTTCTTTCATTTTAATGTTAGTTTTATGCTTTGCATGTTTGGAGAGGAAGATATGATTTGTTTTTCTTTGTATTTTCTTCTTAAGCTTTGCATGTTTTGATGTTTCTTTTTTATATGATTGTTTTCCTTTATTTTAGACTTTTTAAGTTTTCCTGCATGTTGGGTTGCTTGTTTTGGTTTGTTTTTCCCTTGTGACAATCCATGCGCATTGGACTGAAGTAGTTGTCTGAGGAGGCGGAGTGCATTAATTGCACTGCGTAATGCTACGCTCAGGTGTGAGCAAGGGCTGATTAAAGCCGACATAAAAGGAGTCTGAAGGAAAGGAGAAGGAGAACGGAATCTGCAGGTGACAGAGACGGACGCGCTGCTGGGGGAGATGCAGGCGGGATCCATGCGCACAGATGGCCCAGTAAGAAGTATTAGGGCAGAGGAGGAACCTCGGCTGTAAGTAGCGCTCCCCCTCGCTTAAAGCATAAACAGGAATATATCTTCCGACGGGGTTTTGGCGCGTGGATGCTGGCGTTCTCCTTGCTTCTCTTTTTAGCTAGATCGGTCTGGAAAGGGGTGTGGCACGCCAGGGAGTGGAACAGTGCTGGAGCGCCGCAGAGTCTGTGGATCAGCCAGTGGGTGCTGCAGGCTGATCACTCACACCTGAAGCAGCATAACAAGCGGAGCCCAACTTCCAGCCTCTGATTTTTAAGGAAAACTCTTGAATTTTAGGTTTTATCAGGAGAAGAAAAGGACTGTTTTATTATGCCACTTTTGCTGTGGCTTTTTGTATAAATAAAACACTTGAACTTGAGTGCTTCACAGTTTGGGTCTTTGAGTTTTCTTCTGTGTGCGGGTAAGGCGAGCGGCAATCAGTCAAGTTAGTAAAACAAAAAACACTTGAATAAGTGTTTTTACACTGGAATAAAATATTGTTCACAAGTCGGAAATCACGAGTCTCAGTCGAGTCTGAAGTCCTTTAAATGCAAGTCTAAGTCGAGTCTGAAGTCATTAAATATGCGACTTAAGTGCGATTCGAGTACGAGTCACAAACTCGAGTCCCCATCTCTGCTACACGGACGTCTTTAACAGGTATTTATAAGAATGTAATATAACAGTATCATAGAAAACAACTGAACAGTCAAATAGCCACTTAGTATTTACTGTGTGATGGACGAAAGAAATAAAATGAGGAATAACCCAGTGTGATGATGAACAGGTCCTACCTGTTAGAACAATGTTTTTATACTTCATCTGCTGCCAGCTTTCCCCCCATAATGTCATCAGATTAGAAGAGGCTATGGCAGCTTGTTTTTAATACTTATTAGTTTGTCTGAATATGTATTTCTGATATCTGAAATACATATTTTTTTCTTGTCAAAATAAACATTTCAAACAAAATTCATTTCAATTCAGTTTATTTCTATAGCGCCAATTCACATTATGTCATCTCAAGGCACTTTCCAGTTCACCAGATCATCCAGTCAGATTGATTCAAAGTTTTCTATCTAAGGAAAACCAGACTCATCGACTTGAATGCATTCCCTCACACTAAGCATGCTTGTAGTAACAGTGGAGAGGAAAAACTCCCCTTTAACAGGAAGAAACCTCCAGCAGAACCAGGCTCAGTGTGAGCGGCCATCTGCTGAGGCCCACTGGGGTTCAAGGAGACAGAAGCAGACATGCAAACAAAATGAAATTCTTTAGATCTAAAATAGACTTTCTGGGTAATATTTTGATCAGAAGAAATGTATTTCCTATAAATATAATAATAAAAGTCAAAACAGCCACCTAAAATGAGGAAAACATAGATATACATTCACCGGCCACTTTATTAGGTACACCTGTCCAACTGCTCGTTAACACTTAATTTCTAAGCAGCCAATCACATGGCGGCAACTCAGTGCATTTAGGCATGTAGACATGGTCAAGACAATCTCCTGCAGTTCAAACCGAGCATCAGTATGGGGAAGAAAGGTGATTTGAGTGACTTTGAACGTGGCATGATTGTTGGTGCCAGAAGGGCTGGACTGAGTATTTCAGAAACTGCTGATCTGCTGGGATTTTCACGCACAACCATCTCTAGGGTTTACAGAGAATGGTCCGAAAAAGAAAAAACATCCAGTGAGCGGCAGTTCTGTGGGCGGAAATGCCTTGTTGATGCCAGAGGTCAGAGGAGAATGGCCAGACTGGTTCGAGCTGATAGAAGGGCAACAGTGACTCAAATAACCACCCGTTACAACCAAGGTGGGCAGAAGAGCATCTCTGAACGCACAGTACGTGGAACTTTGAGGCAGATGGGCTACAGCAGCAGAAGACCACACCGGGTGCCACTCCTTTCAGCTAAGAACAGGAAACTGAGGCTACAATTTGCACAAGCTCATCGAAATTGGACAATAGAAGATTGGAAAAACGTTGCCTGGTCTGATGAGTCTCGATTTCTGCTGCGACATTCGGATGGTAGGGTCAGAATTTGGCGTCTACAACATGAAAGCATGGATCCATCCTGCCTTGTATCAACGGTTCAGGCTGGTGGTGGTGGTGTCATGGTGTGGGGAATATTTTCTTGGCACTCTTTGGGCCCCTTGGTACCAATTGAGCATCGTTGCAACGCCACAGCCTACCTGAGTATTGTTGCTGACCATGTCCATCCCTTTATGAACACAATTTACCCAACTTCTGATGGCTACTTTCAGCAGGATAATGCGCCATGTCATAAAGCTGGAATCATCTCAGACTGGTTTCTTGAACATGACAATGAGTTCACTGTACTCAAATGGCCTCCACAGTCACCAGATCTCAATCCAATAGAGCATCTTTGGGATGTGGTGGAACGGGAGATTCGCATCATGGATGTGCAGCTGACAAATCTGCGGCAACTGTGTGATGCCATCATGTCAATATGGACCAAACTCCCTGAGGAATGCTTCCAGCACCTTGCTGAATCTATGCCACGAAGAATTGAGGCAGTTCTGAAGGCAAAAGGGGGTCCAACCCGTTACTAGCATGGGGTACCTAATAAAGTGGCCGGTGAGTGTATATAAAACTTCTTACTTGTACAACCTTGTTTTTTTTTACTTTTTAAAATTCTGTTTTTGCTGCATACATGTAATTCATAAAATCTATTATAGTTTTGACTGGGAATGTGATTCTGATCAGGAAGAATCTTATTTAAGGGATCTACATTTGAAAAAAAAAACTGAGAAGAGAGTGCTTTTAATAAATGTCAAAAACGGCCTGCCATACCACACTGCATATAAACTGCATTAACTCGAGCAGAAATCTTTTCCCATGCAGCTGTAATGCAGGTGCTCTCTCTTTTAAACATATTATCTGATGTTTTATTTTCTATTCTGCATTATTCTGCATTTGGCCTCAGATAATGGACTTGTATCTGTGCTCGTCCTGTTGGATCTTAGTGCTGCATTTGATACAGTTGACCATAATATTCTTTTAGAAAGACTTGAATATTTTGTTGGAATTAAAGGAACAGCACTAGACTGGTTTAAATCTTATCTATCTGATCGAATTCAGTTTGTTCATGTTAATGATAGATCTTCAACACGCTCAAAGGTTACCTGTGGAGTACCACAGGGATCAGTGCTAGGACCAATTCTCTTTACTTTATACATGCTCCCAATTGGTAGAATTATTAGACAGCATGGGATTAATTTCCACTGTTATGCTGATGATACCCAGCTATATCTGTCTACAAATCCAGATGAAGCTAACCCATTACATAGATTACAGGCATGTCTTGAAGACATAAAAACCTGGATGACTCTTAACTTTCTGCTTCTGAATGCAGACAAAACAGAAGTTATAGTCTTTGGACCAGAGTCTCTGAAAAAGAAACTGATTAGCCAGTCACTTCATTTGGATGGGATTAAACTGATTTCAGATAATAAAGTAAAAAATCTTGGTGTTATTTTTGATCAGGACCTGTCATTTAAATCCCATATCAAAGAGGTTTCTAGAATTTCCTTCTTTCATCTGAGGAACATTGCAAAAATTAGAAATATCCTGTCCAGGGGTGATGCTGAGAAACTAGTCCATGCATTTGTTACTTCAAGGCTGGACTATTGTAATTCTTTACTATCAGGAAGTCCACAAACTGTAGTTAAAAGCCTTCAGCTGATCCAAAATGCTGCAGCCAGAGTTCTAATGAAAATTAAAGAGAGATCATATCTCGCCTATCCTGGCTTCTCTTCATTGGCTTCCTGTTAAATCAAGAATAGAATTTAAAATCCTCCTTCTCACATATAAAGCCTTAAATGGCCAAGCTCCATCTTATATCAGAGATCTGATTGTTCCTTATGTTCCTAACAGAGCACTTCGCTCTCAATCTGCAAGTTTACTAGTGGTTCCTAGAATTTCTAAAAGTAGAATGGGAGGCAGATCTTTTAGTTCTCAGGCTCCTCTCCTGTGGAACCAACTACCTGTTTTAGTCCGTGAGGCAGACACCCTGTCTACTTTTAAGGCTAGGCTTAAAACTTTCCTTTTTGATAAAGCTTATAGTTAGGGTGGCTCAGGTTATCCTGAGCTATCTCTATAGTTATGCTGCTATAGGCTTAGACTTTTGGAGGACATAGGGACCCCCATTTCATCATTCTGCTTCATTCTCTCTCTGTTCTCCTATTCTACAGAATCTGTTAGTTCAATCTCTAACCTTCTGCTCTCTCTGCTTTTCCTCAGAGTAGCTTTGCCTCGTCTGTTCCTGTTTGGCTGTGACTCCATCCTGGAAAGAAACATCAGCTGTGCTGCTTCTATCAACACCCTTGTTTATAGATGTTGGAGATCGGCCTGTTTTCCAGTGTGGTCCTGTTTCTCTGACCGTGACTGAGTGGATGTGCTCTCTTCGTCCTCTGGCATGGGAGCTGCCTTGGAGCTCGTCTGCCTGGCTGTGTGTTTCCTGGACGGGGCCGCCTTTTACAGCTGCTTTTTGTATCTCTGCTTCTGTCTCCTTGAACCCCAGTCGGCCTCGGCAGATGGCCGCTCACACTGAGCCTGGTTCTGCTGGAGGTTTCTTCCTGTTAAAAGGGAGTTTTTCCTCTCCACTGTCGCTACAAGCATGCTTAGTGTGGGGGATTGTATTTGAGTCAATGAGTCAATGCAATCAACTGGTTTTCCTTAGATAGAAAACTTTGTATCAATTTGACTGTATGATCTGGTTGAACTGTAAAGTGCCTTGAGATGACATGTGTTGTGAATTTGGCGCTATATAAATAAACTGAATTGAATTGAATTAAAATCTCTAGTTCCAGTGGGGAGAAATAGGCACTTCTTGTTGCCTAATGTTAATAAAAGACTGCTGTTCTGTTGGGGGGCAGAAAGGTGCTGGGATGTGAGGCAGCCTTTTCTCATCCTGCAGGGAGCTTTGTTTGAAAATCCCTTTCTGTGTATGATTCATTTTTTGTACTATATGAACTCACAATTGTGAATCTAACACCAACCTTAAGCTAGATCAATTCAGAGTTGAGTGTTTGATTCTGAGTTTGTTAACTGATTTGTTTCCAAAATGTTAATCAAGTGAATGTGACTGAGTAAATGTGACCAGTTATGATCCAAGTCAATCAAACAATCAGGAAAGCTGAAGTTTCTCCACGTAGCAGAACTGAATTGTTGCAGTACGACGTGTAAAAGAGATAAACTGCCCACTGATCATGTTTCTCACCTCAGAGTTGTGGCTGAGCTGCAGGTACGTACACTGTGGATGGAAGGCACCGGTTCCACACGCGTAAACGTGAGTCTTATTGAACGGCTGCAGCGCGCGAACAAAGTTGGCACAATCCCTCTGAAAATCGAGCCAAAAAATAGATCTGTGACTTTTCCTCGTGTTTAAGAGAAAAAAAACACAGGAAAAAAAAACATTTCAAAAAGAAAAGAAAGATGTAAAGCAGGTTTTAGGCTCCTAAACCTTTAAAATTATCTTTAGTTTGTTTCTTTTTGAAATAAATTTTACCTCCAGACTTTTTCCTGCCAGCCTGCAGTGCTCCACATGTTCTTGCGCAGCGGGCCAGTGGATCTGATGGAGAACATGGAGAACATCCAATCAACAACATAGATTATAAACAATCAAATGTTAACTGCAATATCTGCTAATGGAAACTGAAAAATAACAGATGTTACCTAAATATAGAGAAAGACATATAAATATTGATTAAACGATAATTAACTTCTGATCCCAAACTTGTGATGACTTTCCGATACCAGAAAATGCATTAAATAAAGAAAATGCATTAAATAAAGTTTATATTTTTACAATCTTTGTGAAACAAAATCAGGACCTCAGAGCTGCAATAATAATTTCTAATGCAGATTTATGATAAGCCTCTGATTACAGGCTGAAATATAGCTTATAGATATATTTCTCATTAGTATGGACTTTTATCATATTTAGTCACTTTCTGTGTCAATATATCATATCAGATCATAACTTTGTAGCTGCAACCAAAGACTCATTATAACATCAACGCTCATTAACATTAATATTTAGGAACTGGGGAAGCAGATTAAGGGGAAATATGGGATAAAAATCGATTCCAGTGTTTTTTTTTAAACTGATAAATAGACTTAGAATAAATAGATAAAGCATTAATGCTGCTTCCAATGTGTCAAAGGAAACAATAAAATGTAAATGTTGACTCAGAGATCAGAATGGCTCAGTATTAGAATAATTCTCCCTCAGAATTTTCCATAGTTTTTTTTCTTTCTGCATCAAGAAGATTTTAAGACCTCAAACCCTCAGAAGGCATCAGATAGACGGTTTCACCGCCTCACCTTCTGAAAGGGGCGTTGCAGGTTGTCGGGACTCAGCAGGTAAATGTGGTCTTTCCCTCCGACCAGCAGCCAGCCTCGATCCTCGTCTAAAAGCAGGACCTGATAGCCTCCACTGACTCCACCCTCCCAATAGAGCGCCGAGCCGTTCCGTAGATCTGGAAAAGAGTCAAAATCAATTAAGGTTTTAGACAAATCAATCTAACCGTGCTATTTAAAGCACTTCAAGCAGCTTTTAAAGCCAAAGGTGTCAATGGGTTAGTCTGTGTCAGGATGATCATCTTCATTAATAGACACCTCCAGTGGTGATGCTGATAAGCACTGAGGGAATGGGCTCAGCTTTTATAGGAATCTAATGTGCAGTAGATCACAGTCCCAACCCTTTTACAGAGGAACAGAAGACCTCGCCTTTTCAGCCAGGCCAACAATTCCCTTTAACGACCCCCCTTTCAGAGACATAGACAGGTATGGGGCATTGCAGGCTCACAATGAAGCCAAACGACCCCCATTCCAAAGGGGGGGACCCGTTTGTCCGCTTCTATTTGCATGTTTTCTAAACAAAAACAAGGCTTTGTTGGGCTGCTGTATAAAACCTCAAACTCAACGCTATTTCTGACATCTTGAATTGAAAAAGTGTTGGATTCAGAAAATGTAGGTTTGCAAATAAATAGAAATTGAGTCTACACAGGAAAGAGATTCAAGCAGCTTCTGCAGGAGCAGAAGGAAAAGCCCAACCCAACTTCAAGCTTTCCTTCCCCGAATCCCATTAACAGAACATAACACATGGTTACAAAACAGTATTTTTTCTGACAGAACAATTGATCAGTTCATAAAGACAAGATGCTCCATCAGAATGCCAAGGCAGGATGGTCTCCTTACTGAATCAAGAGACAGGAGTGGAGCATCCCCTTGCACAAATTAAGCACACATTCATTTTATAATCATCATTGAATAAACCTAACAAAAGCTTCCTGGATGGGAAGAGAAATGTCTTCAAAACTTGGAAACAAACTTACTTTTTTGAAGCCCCAGTGTCGTTTACCAAAGATGTAATCTAATGATCTCCACCAGCAAAAAAGTTGGTTTGATGTTACATTTTCAAAACATTTTGCCTAAATTTATTCCTGCAAGGACTTCAGTAATAAACAGTGATTTAATGAAAAAAGGCAGGTTTGTCTAACTGCATCTCAGCAGCAAGCATGTGAGTGAACAGCATGTCAGAGACATCAGCAATGAACTCTGAGAAGCAGCTGTTGCTGCTCATCAATCTAGGAAGGTTTTAAGACCATTTCCAATCAATCTGAAGTCCATCATTCTTAAAGAGAAAGATTAGAGGGAAACCCTTTGAGGAGTTGATGTTGCAGCAGATTAAGCCAAAATGTCAGAGCTTGAAGCTCAGAGGAGGGAAAGAAAAGTCAACATCTCAGATTCTCACACTGCAAAAAATTTTAATCTAAATAAGTATTTTTTTCTTAAAATAAGTGAATTTTGTCTTGAATTGAGGAGTTAAGTGAGACTCTTTCCCGACAATTTCCATTCAAAAAAAAGAAAAAACAACTGCATTGCTTTATTACAAGTGCATATTATCTAAGCATCTAATCCTAAGAGTAAAAATATTAATTCCACTGACAAATCATCCCATTTACCAGTGGCAGCTGGCCCATAGGGGGTCCATAGATATGGAGGGGAAATGTCATAATATATATACCTATTAAAAGTATTATCAATGTCAGTTTCACTTAATAGTATATAGCTATATGTAATATGAATTATTAAAACAACACTTCTACCAATTGACTCTCATTCAATAGAACATTTCCACCGACAGAACGGATCATTTATCTTTTGGGCGCTCATTCAAAGTGCACCTGAAGTGTAGCGAAATAACCAATCGTATAATAATTACTAAATATTTGGCTAATCAGCATCGCCAAACTTAATGGCTTTGGGCTCCTGGAATTTTGGTTCCTGCTACAGTGATATAGGTGATGGAGCCAGTAGTCAGTCTGGAAGTGAGGTAGAGACTATGGTGGCGACGACAGCTGAACTTGAAGAGCAGCTTTCACACATCTTTACCGAGCTAACCTTTCGCTAGAAGGACGATGCTGGAAAAAATCCATGTAAAGGAGCTGGGACTTGACAAGTCTGAAATAAATTTAACGCAGCGAACCGAGGAAAAGGTTAAATCCTGGTTCCTTTTCAAACTTCAGAATCTAACCCAGGATAAAGACAGCTAGGACTGATTTAAAGCACTTTTTAGAAAAGGCAAAGAAAAAAGAACAATCTGGGATTCACATGGAAAATAATATAAAATAGCGTACTTTTTAGGTGTATATTAATTTGCATACTTGCTCTTAAATAAACACATTCTCAGAAAATAAATAGTTTTAATATATTTAGAAAATATAAATATGTTCCACAGAATGCTCTAGGCAAATTTCCAGTTAACATGAATTCTGCCACCATCAGTCTCCTGCTTAAACCAGGCAAAGATCCTATGTTTGCGACCAGCTATCGTCCCATATCCTTAATAAATGTGGATATTAAAATAATCTGTAAAGCTTTAGCAAAACGATTAGATAAAATCACTCCTCTCATAATCCACCCAGATCAAACTGGTTTCATTAAAGGAAGGCAGTCAGCTGCTAACACACGCACAAACAAATATGATTAAGGTATAAAAGGCATGAAAATAGAGCATAAAATTAGTCTTTACGCAGATGATGTATTACTTTATCTCCAGCATTCAAACACTTGCATCTCTCAAGTGATTAGTTTACTAGAATCTTTCTCAAAAGTCTCAGAATACTCTATAAATTGGTCTAAATCTATAATACTACCAATTAATTGCTCTCTACAGAATCCCTCAGGTCTACAATTGCAATCAGGAAATATCAAATATTTGGGAATTACTGTGTCATCTAAACTAGCTGAGTTACCAAAACTTTTCTTTTTTCCTTTTCTTCTTCTGTTTTTCTGCTCTATTTACATTGCAGTGTCCATATAAACTGTAAAACTCCCTGCATGATTATAATAAAGCAATTTATATGCATGAAACAAGTAAAATCTGTTGGGCTCTTTTTGGCATCAAGACAATTATTCTTATTGCCACCTTGCCAGACAGGACACTGTAAAAAAAAAAAAAAAAAGAAAATATAAAGCTGACTAATAGCTTCTCCATTATCAAACTAGTTCATTATACATTATAATTTTAGGTGCATTATAATTTTAGGTTTGTGACGCCATATTGGACCATATAAAACACAGATTTACCTTCACAGAGCTTTAGAAGGACAAGATTTATGTACAAAAAGTAAACCTGTACATAAAATTATGTTTATAAAGTATTTTTAAGATGTTTTTTTCCGTTGTTAGCATTAATCTAAATAAACTGGTGAGATAAATTATTATACATATGATTGGTTTTTGGTATAATCCTATTTTGAATTTATAGAAGGCAAGCTAACAAAAGAAGCTGAATGACCCCCATCCTAAATGGGTGGAGCCCTTTGCTTGTTCAACTCTGCATGTTTTCTAAACTAAAACAAGACTTTGTTGGGGTACGGTATAAAACCTGGAACTCAAATCTATTTCTGACATTTTGAATTGAAAAAGCTTCCTGGATGGAAGAGAAACGTCTTTAAACCTGGAAACAAAGTCTTTAGTGTTTCTAAAGAAACTAATGCACAGCTCAAAAGGAGGTTTTTCTAAATCAGTGTCTCCATTTTCACCTTGTTGGTTTTTAGATTATAAAATGAGGTAGATCAATAATCTATACTGTTTATCTGAGGTAATATTATTCAGCTCATTTTGGGACCAAGCGAGCTGTGAGTGATTTATTCGGTCCTGTTTCAAAACGCAGGCAGCCTAATTCATTTTTCCACATAACTGCAGCTTGAACCTGGCAGCTCTTATGTTCATAAATCAACGGCGATGTAATCCAACACTGCAGGTCAGGAGAAGACCTTCACTCTACAGGTTGAATGGGTTTCCTTCACGTGAATTGAAGTAAATCAACGCTGCGGTTGAGTGCTCCATAACTAAAGTCAACAGCGATACGGCACATGCACATTGATCTGCCCTCTCTGGGGAGTCGGTGTTAAAGCAGGCAGAAAACAACCTGAAGAAGAGGAGTAAATTAACCCTGCAGCTCCGTCTTTCCCCTCACTCTTCTGCAGCCACCATCCTGATTCTGTAACGCTGTCAGATCAGGCCTCATGGAGGACCAACCACTGCAGGGTCGGTGCCAAAGCAACAAGAACCCAAACAGAAACACCACTGCTGAACAATCATGATGTGGAACCAAAAGCATTTCATGGCAGAAGGTTTCTGCGCCGATCAAGTTTCCAGTTATTTTTACATTTCAGTCATTTGAAGGGAAAGTCATCGCGCTGACAGCGTGTTCCTCACAGCTGAGTCTCATTTATGGCTGCGACTTCATATTTGATTCATTTATCCTCCGTTTCTGGAGCCAGAGTTGTTGCTTTTTGATAGAAATCTGTTTTAAATCTAAACTACTTTTAGGAAGAAAAAAAAAAAACATAGGACTTTAGGACATTCCAATGATTAATTTCCCCCCAAAATATTGAAATGACAAAATCCCACTTAAGGTATTGGGTTCCAATGTTGGCCTTCAGAGAAGTTTCCTAGAAAAGTATCTAACCCTCTCCTCTCCTGCTAAAGTTCTCCTGGTTTCTACATCTCCAGTAACTGTAAAAATATAAAGTTTCTGACTGTAAAAGCAGCTTTAAATGTATCTTTAGAGAAAAGCAGCAAACATGCTGCAGCTGACTGTGCCCTAAATGCAACATGCTTCTGCAGAATGTTTCTGTGCAGCAATAAGGTGCTTTAAAGGTAAAGAAAAGTGAGCATGAAGCTCTGTAAACCTGTCATGAAGTTTGCAATGAGCTGAGTGGAGCGAGACGACCCCCCGCGGTGCACGCCGAGCACAAACATCGTTTAAGCATACAGAGACGCTGCCTGTGGGTTCAGCCTTTGAATGCAGCACGCCACATTTCCTACAGCGCCCAGAAAGAAATAAATCACCGCTCTGACAATCCCATTGATTTCACTGGAAGCTTACAGGTGACAGCGGAGACTCAGCTTGCCAGTGGGCCATAGAGGAAAGGACTGAATAACTGCAGAAGAATGTAGTCGG